GCTCCATAATCTTTTTTGATATACTCCAAAGAGAACTCAGACAGGTATCAGAGCCAACATGCTTCCATTAGCTCAGGAAACCACATCCTTTCCATTAAAACCAGACGTCCTAGGAAGGAAAGGAAGTAAGCAGAAAATTAAAGGTGGGGAGATTGATTCAACCTTTTTTCATAATGAATGTCCCCAAGAGTAAGTCTCTAATGATCTGCAGGCTGATGTGAGAGTTTGGCTGACCCTATAAGTTTTTGAAAGCTCCATCGTTTGCCCCTTTTCTTCTCTTGGAACACGCACTTCCTCTCTTCATGACTTTCCTTGTGAGCCTTTCCCAAGAGCTTCCAAAATACATCCTATTCTTATCTCTTTCCCCACCCTTCTGGTTTCTCATCACCAACCGACTTCTTTCCTCCCTCTGCTGAAAAGTGTGTCTTTAAAGGTTTTCAGGTGTAGAAGTATTATCTGCTTTGGCAAATTCATCTTCAGAAATTCTGTGGCTGTGTTTTCTCTGGTTTCTTTTTCTGAGAATAACTGTTTCTCCCCTCCCTCCTTTATATTCTGGACATTGTATGACATTAAATATGGACATATCTCTTTATGCAAAATCAAAACACTGTTCCTACAGTCTGTAGCAGGAGGCAGATGACAATGTGTTGATCAAGATGTAACAGAGAGGTTAGTTAGGGTAAACTCGTAATCAGAAGTGATTTTATAATTAGAATATTTATGATATTTTAGTTGGAAATAAGCATTTCATTTTTATTTGGAAAGAGGGGATTTAAAACATGAGAAAAATAGTAATGGTGGTTATCAAAGAAAGTAAAACTTTACATGAGTATAAAGAGAAATAAATATATAATTGTGTATATGCTTATATGTATATTTCTACTTATTTTTATATAGGTTGTTTGAAAGATTTGTTTTTACATTTTTGGGGGGGGGGCCTGGGAGAGTACATGCTTTTCCTGGCCCATGTTCAGAAGTCAGAGGAAAGCATGTAGGATTTCTTTCCTTCCACTGTGTGAGTTTTCAGGACTGAATTCAGATTAGCATTCTCAGCAGCAAGTGCCTTTATTCCTTGAGCCCCTTATATTGATTCTTAAGGCAAGAGCAAGATGAAATGGGTTGAAAAATGAATGTTTAAAGTTTCCTGAAAGAGGAAAAAAAAACTAAAAATGAAATAAAAATGGGGCTGGGGATTTAGCTCAGTGGTTGAGAGCTTGCCTAGAAGCTCAAGGCCCAGGGTCTGGTTCTCACCTGGGGGGCCGGGGGAGGGGGCAGATAACAAAAGTTATCTGAAAGAACAAAAGCTGAATCTCTCTCAAGTTTTAAGCAGTTTCAAACATCACTTCACAGAAGAAAATATTTTTTGGTAACAAATTTCAGAGTAGCCTTTTAAAAGACTCACTCGATGATATTCATTTCCGTATACTCTAGTGTACAATTCCTTAGAATTTCTCTCCTGCTGTATCCTTACAAAACAGACCTGAACAGACTTAGTTGGGGTTGAACCATTTTCCCAACTGAAGTTCCCCTCTTCGGATGACTCAACCTTGTGTAAAGTTGAGATAAAACTAGTCTGAACATAGACTTAGGTGTTTTAAATGCAGAGAAATAAAAATCTAAAAGCGACAGGAACTGAGATCTACAAAAATAGAACACCACTATAATTTCAGTGAATGGCGAATGTTTAAACTCTTTGAGAAATCGCACTTTATGTGGGATTTCCTGGCCTTCGGAGCATACAATGCTAGGGAAAAAGTGAGCCCAGTCTTTTCTCCTTGCTCACTGGAGCTATCATGTCTCATCTATCCAACCTCTGAGTGCAGTTCTCGAAGTGGGGTACTCTCTCACGCCCAGGGTCTGTGCGATTAGCATATGAATGTGTAACGGGATTGTTTGAAGTCACAATTAAGGGAACAATACATAGAGGAGCTGAAGGGAACTACCAACACCTGGGAATCTCGCATTGAAAAGGCGTTCCTAATGTATGTAATTAGAAACCAAGGACAAAATGCTCTTTGTGTGGTAATAAAAGCCCTAGAAGGAAAGCCAAAAAGTGGTTCATGTTTTGCTGTCATTCTTTGTGGTGAATGTTAAAGCAAGGGTTTATCCGTTACACTTACTTCAAAGGAACCCTGGTTAAGTACAGTTTTTGCATGGTATCATCTTGGAAAATCATCCAAAGGCTTCTATATGATAAAAATACCTAACAGCTAAAAATGAAATATTTCAGATGCATAAACGATTAGAGAATGATTCCTGCAAGGTGGGTGCAGAGTTTGAGGAGAAACATCCTGCTGATTGCCTGGACAAACCACACACGTCCAGTTAATCCTCTGTAACGGATTTCTTTTCAGTTGTGCCAACAGACCTCCGGCCTGCTACATGGTTTTGCTTTGTTTTACTTCTCTTTAAGGTATACAAGGATCCTGCTCAGGGAACAGCACCTTACCAAAGTCATGAAGAGCTTTTTAATCCTGGGGCAGGATCAGTGATTGGGGGAGCAGGGAATGAGGGTATTAGTGCTTCCGTTTTTATCAGTGACTGCATGTACAAATTAGTCCTCTGGTATCATTGCCTCATAGTGAAACAGAACATTTTCCCATAAATTGTTAAAGTTCAAGTTGTATATATTCCTTTATTCTCAGCATTTAAATTCATCTAAATAACTATCATTTTAAGAGAACTGGATTTGAACAATTAACAGTGAGCCTAATCTCACCGTCAAGCAGAGAAACAAATGCAGGCGTAACTGTTCACAGCACTGCTATTCCATAATATGCCCCAAGGGGAAACTACTGGAGAGCCCATTGGATGATGAACGGGTAAATTAAATAGGGCATGTCTGCTTTCAAAACAGAGTTTTCAGGAGACAAATTAGGCTATTGCCGTAGAAGAGAAAAGCCAGAGCCAATCGGACCTCAGCTCCTGTGAAGTACGGTTTTCTAAGGGCTGCCATGAGCTGGTGGGAAGGACCTGAATGACATCTGGGGAACACAGTAGTCACGTGTGCTTGTTAATAGATGTTATCCAAAAGAAAAATAAACTCAGGTTCTCGCCACGTGCAGCAAGTTCTTCCTGAGCCTGTGAGACAAGGATTCTGTTTCCCTCGATGCCTGCACTCCTCCAGCCTGGTGCCCAGTACTCGAGAAGCAAATTGTCGGATTGGCTGCTAAAGACTTCTCCATCTTAATGGAAGAGAAAGATATTAGAGTTCCAGCATTTCTGCAGTAAAATGGAAGTCTAAGAAAAGGGAAATGAGCACCAGGAAAAAATTGATCAGCATTTAGTCAACCCCAGGGGAAGTTGATCCTGATTTGGTAACCAGAGAGTGAAGTACTCTTTGTGAGTAAAAAGAAAATGGATGAAGTTTTGATGAGTGCGGATCATGAAGGAGCCTTGAAAACACTACATGAAATGAATGAGGTCGATCACAAAATGATTCATTGTACAATTGTGCTTATACAAAACATGAGCCATATTCAAATATATAAAGAGTAGGTAATAAGAATAAGAAATAATTTTCCCCATTAATGAGAAAAAGATCAACATAGAACATGCACGTTTGTGTGAATATTCACAGGAGAGTGGTGAGAACTTCATATTTGAATGAACATTGTTCCTCAAGGTCATTAGTAAACTGTCTACAGTCTTTTCTGGATCAAGAGTTCTGTCAGCTGCACTGGTTGGGTCCCAGACACAGCTTGCAGAGGTTTCCTGAACTCACCCTGAAGCTGAAATAGAGCAGGGACATTCCGGTAGTTAGGGTGTAAGGGTCTGTGGCACGGTATTAGCACCGTGAATCCTGATCCCTGAGTGTTACAATGGATCTAGGCACATTTTGAATTACACAGAATGAAGTTGGGGACTTCCACCCACCTTCTTCCTGTATGAATTGTCCTATATTCTCCCTAGAGCCTCTCTCCTTGGGCCACAAGGTATCTGCCCCTTTCATAATGGTGGAAGCTTTCCTCGGTCTTACCTGCACCAGGAACCTTCATTCCTCCAGGGATGAATTCACTTACAATGAAGGGAGATGATGTGGTATGTCCTTCAGTATATGTGTTGTTTTTATTTGGCTAATGAATAAGGCTGCTTTGGCCAGTGACTTAGGAGAATATAGCCAGGCTGGAAGAGATAAAGGGAGAGAGTAGGTGGAGTCAGGGAGACTCCATGTAGCTGCTGAAACAGAAGGACACACCAGAACCTTACTAGTAGGATACAATCTTGAGGTGATACAGATTAAAAGAAATGGGTTAATTTAAGATATAAGACTTAGTCATAAATATGCCTAAGCTATTGGCCAAACATTATTGTAATTAATGTAGTTTCTGTGTGATTATTCAAGTCTGGGTGCCAAGAAATGAACCAGCAGTCTCCTCCTACAATAACATTTCCCCAGTCACAGTCATACATTAAAGATTTCAGTTTTGCTCTGTCTGTCCTTCTTCCGCAGAGGCAGCTTCTGCCTCTGTCTCTCTTCTTCTCTCCTCTCCCTTTTCTCCTTTCTCTCCTTTCTTCCCCCTCTGTAACCCATTAAATAAACTCTATACAACCCCGCCCCCGAAAGATTTCAATTTCAAGATATCTAATTTCATTGTGTTTTAAAAGAAACACAAGTTTTGAACATAAGATAGCCACTCGGCTCTTTTAAGTGTTTATAAATATGTGTTGGATCTATAAAACCACAAATATGTTTTCAAGCAACAGGATTTCAGATATTGAACAGAGACAAGCTGTCCTTTCTGACCATGCCCTTCTTTGTGATGATGCCTCTAAGTTGCTGAGAACTTTGCTCCATCTCTGCTTGAGCTCAGTGTTTCCTAACTACTCCAGAACAGGGGCGTTGATGTTGATAATGGCAGAGGTGTAACTGAGTGGAGATGTTGGGAGGGTGACATAAAAACAAATATTGAACTAACCACTCATGGTGTGAAGAATTTGGGCAATATAATTCTTAATGCTTTTCTGGAAGTTAATCACGTAATTTTCTTTGGTTCTAGATTGGACTTATGGATACTACAGACAACAGAGAAAACTTGTTGAAGAGATTGGATGGTCCTATACAGGTAAGCATACTACTGACACTGTGAGAATTAACAGACCCCCCCTTTTTTTTTGCTTTGGATCTGTTACTGTACATAAAAAGGAATTTTTATAACCTAGTGCATTATTTTAGTTTCCCTCCAGGCTGTCCTATTAATTAATAAACTATAATTGGTAGAAAAATGATTTTTAGTGGGCTTTTCATAAGTTTGGTAGTATAGCATATTGAATAGAGCTGGGTGTAGATCTCAGGACTTTACTTTTATTCCTTTGGGACAATGCATAACCTCCCTGAGGGCAAGCTGGGCATAAAGTGAGCTAATGAAGTCAGAAGCACTTGCTTAGATCTTTCTTTAAATGGAAACTTCCAGTAAGTACTAGTGGCCAGTGTTATAATTGTGTTGTTAGTGATTATTTTACACTCATTTGGCAAACTTTGATAATGTACGTTTTTTGGAAGTGTCTTCCTTCTGAATGACTGTGACTGAGTTCACTGGAATCAAACTCTAAAATTATTCTGTCTGATAACCATACTTGGCTTGAATCATCACAAATGTTTGAAGTAGGTTAGAAGGAATCCTAAGCAGAAGTCATGATCAAAGCCCTGGAGGGAAGAGAAGCTGTAGTGTTGACTGAAAGAACATGAGCGGGAGCTGGATAGATCTCACAGTTGGCAACCACTTGGGATACTGTTAGAAGCGCTGCAGTCAGACACTGATTACACACGAGTGGGTTGGTGAGATGACCTCACAGTAGAAGGGACTGACCATGAGCCTGACCAGTCTGGGCTTGATTTTACAGAACAGCCCAGCAAAGTCTATTTTTATATAGAAGGACATGCATTTCTCTTTTTGTCAATTTATTGTTAATATACAAATATTGTTAATTTATTTTTAATATACAAAATAACAGGTTTCATTATGATCTTTCCGTGTGTTCATAAACATTGTTTGCTCATATTTGCCCAGGTACACCCTTCTCCAGTTCCTCTTTCACCCTCACTGGTTCACGTCCTCTACCTAAGTAGTCCCTGTTTTCCTTTGTCCTTATTTTTGTTCTTACCTTAGAAATAGTACATATTCACTGTAGAGAATTTAGAGACTAGGTTCAAGTGCACAAAGGAAAATACAAATCACTCTTTATCTTGTTCAATTCTATGCACTAATAAACATATCGTGGGCCTTTCCTGGAAGCTTTTATTATCTTAGGTTTGGATGTTTTGTGTATTTTGTCCATCTTAGTTTTGGAGTATTTTTTTATGCCTTTACACATTTCAGTGATGACTCCTGCTCATCAGAGTCCTTAATACCTGCCTGATACTGCACTGATGAGAAGTTTGATTACTTAACGACTCTTCTTGTGTTCATATAGCTGTCTTATAAGTAATGTTGTGTGTAGGCAGATGTGTCTTTATCTTCATTTTGTCGTGTATTTATGTGCAGTTTCTAACTAGGAGAAAGTATTTTTGAGTGTCCTGGAACATTCTTCCTGACGTTTGTTCTGAAGAGGTCACAGTCATTGTTAGTAGAAATAAGTGACTGCTCAGTAAGTGCTGCTCAGGATTTGGCGTTTTGAAGACCTTTACTAATATTACAGGGCCCTTTTTATGACATTTCTTATTCTAAGTTATTCTACTTGATTGCTTTAAAATTTGAAATCAGGTTAAAAAAATCAAAGTGAGTGTTGGGGCACACCCCTTTAATCCCAACACTCAGGAGACAAAGGCAGAGGCAAGCAGATCTCTGAGTTCGAGGCCAGCCTAGACTATATAGTGAGCTCCAGGATAGTCAGGGCTGTGGAGAAGAAACCATATCTCAAAAATAAAAAAGGAAAGAAAAAAGAGAAAAGAGTAAGGAAGGAAATAAGGAAGGAAGGAAGGAAGGAAGGAAGGAAGGAAGGAAGGAAGGAAGGAAGGAAGGAAGGAAGGAGAGAGAAAAGAAAAGAAGCTAAGTTGAAATATGGAAAAAATTAATAAACTGGAAAATCAACAAATTAAAATTGATCTCTCTGCCATATGGCAGATCAAGTAGATCCCTCTTTAGAAAAGACCTGTCCTTAATGTTCTCACTTATAATAATGATCTAAAAACCTATGGAAAATAACTTTACATTTTATAAGCCTTATAAAACATATAAGAAAAAATTATCCATAATTCTCATTACAGATTTGTTTGCTTTTCTTCCTTTCTTTAGTTGGCTCTTCCATCACTGTGTAGTGATTCACATTCACTAATATTCACTTGAACTTCTTCAAAATAGATTTTGATAAAAATAATTGTTTGATCAAAGGGCCTTTATGATTAATTATATCATATTTTTATAATCATCACATTAGAGATATTGCCAAACTATGTAAAAAATGTTGTCTTATTTCTTTTTATTCCTACATTTTCACTAATACCAATGTTAAAGTTACAATGAAATTTTTAGTAAAAAGATCTTACATTTTATATTCATTTTCCAAATTATTTGATTTGTGCAGAAATTTACACAACAAAAGTTAGATAATGTTGTGGGATATATGATAATGTGAGGTGATAGTCAATTAATAATGAATAACACCAAGACTTAAAATCAAAAGTAAAAGACCCTTAGGATAGATCTATGTAATTTTACTTGTGTTTTTATGCATATTCATGTGCTACTCATCTGAATGAATTTTGGTTTGCATTCGAGCCTAGGATATGGGCAAGCTTTTTTCTACCACATATACAATTCATACAACGTAAAAATTTTAAAGTAAGCTGGCATAAAAGATAAAAGTATCTCATATCTTTAAATTGTATTGCAAGTAATAACTTCAAGTATTTTAACTTAGTTTGACTTTACTAAAGTAATATTGAGGTTAAAATAGTATAAGTAATAAAAGAATTATCACAATCAAAAATTTTAAATTATGGAAAATAATTGCCAACCTGCTTATCAATTTCTGAAATGTTAGAGGTCTTAAGTGTCCAAAAGTAACTTCTGATTATATGGTCTGAATATTTTGATTCTATTAATGGGTTATCTAGAAAATTTTCCAAAATTACACTCTTTTGTTGTGACTAACGCTATATAATTTCCTGATTTCTACTACTAACACATTATCTGTTTAAAGATGAATATTGTTAGAAGCTGATTTTAGATAGGTGCTATATTTGTATCACTATAAAATATTTTTCATGTGTGATTAATGCTAGTTATTGAGTTATAACTTTATTAATGAATATAACAAAGTACTGTTTTCTCAAAATTTAAATAATTTTGTTTACTTTATAACTTTATATCTGATGACTATAATCCATTTTGGATTTATTTTCATCCAAAAGACAAATCTTGTGTTTTATACAGAATTGCAACTATTTATATCTTAATGCCAGAGAAATCATTCACCATGGCAAAATCATGACATCTCAACGAACTGTTCTGCACAATGTCTGCTGACATCAGATGCTGGACAATGTGGAGGCAAACTATCTTCCCAGTGCTTCTTAAACCTGACTCTGAGTAGGTTAAAAGTGTTGCCTCTGAGATGAACTTTTCTCGAAGGAATTTTCATGAGGTTTAATAGTTTTACATTCTTTCACTTTTATAGTTGTATTTTTTCTTTTCATTTTCTAATAAACTTACAAATCATCTTTCAAAAATTTACCACTTAACTGTTTTTAAAAAAAATTTATAAACAAACACTAATATATTGTAGAGGACCCTGCAACATGGAGTTATATCGAGTAACAGTCAACCTGGTTTAGTCTGCTTAACAGCAAACTTTGTAGTTTCAGAGGTCACAAGAATAATAAATAATTAAAATAAATAAAATAAAATAAAATAAAAAGAATGGGTTCTTTTGCTCCAGTGAATCTTTAAGCGAAGAAGCCAGGTGATTACTAGGACTCTTAACCTGCAGTGCAAAGCAAGCTTTTATACACCCTCTCTTACCCAAAATGTAGTACTAGAAAATGGAGACTCTCAAGTTTGGGGAGAGTTATCATTCTCAATGCTCCAAGAAACGGCAGCAGATATAAATGGACTGATGGGAAGACTGTGGAGGTGTTGCCCAGCTTCCCCAGGTCCCAGAAAAGCTGGGTGTGCCTGGTGAGCTAAGAAGAAAGCAGTTCTACCATGAGTTTCAGTACTTAAACTAGTAGCAATGCAGTGCAACCGTGCAATATACGATTATCTGGGGAGCTAGCCACAGAACTACTCCCTTGGATGTCCTAACTGAGCAAGGCATGGCTCATTGGTCAAATGACCAGGCTTGGAGTGAATCGGTTTGTGCATACATAATGAGCAGCTCTATCCTCTATAAATCGGGTTTTATGACCCTGCCTGTAACCAAAAGCCTGTTGGTTTTACCTCCCATCAGAAGCAGTCTCGTGATCAAAAGTGCAAACTTATTAAAATGTGGCATTGCTGTGGAAGGGTAACACGTTTCCAAAGGGGTATTGGACAGTTGGGTGACAGTGGAAGATGAATTGTGTTGTTTATATTAATGCCTTTTATTGGTTTGGGAAATTATTTCTGGAACAGTTCAAGAGTCTAAGGAAATTTTATAATTGTTTGCAGTTCCTACAGAGTCTGACTTTATTCTTTTCTAGCTGGAATATCAAATAAAATAGCTAAGTATTTTATCCAAATGAATGTATCTCTCCCAAGAAAATCCTTATTCACCATAGCATTTACCTCATTTTAAAATTCGAACATTTAAGGCTGACTAGGGCTTCCAATGCTTTGCTTACTATTCTTCCTCAAAAACAAAAATTATAGTTACATATAAAATTTAAAATTAAGTTCATGGTGTGATTCTTAAATGTAACTAATTTTGTAGAGAGCAGAAATGATTCCATTTACACACTTAGTCTATATTTTGTGTTGTGGTGTTTGAATTTGTTGAAGTAGCTGAACTCTTAGAAGATTTCTGAAAGTGTTTGCCCATAGGCTATTCTGCTAATAAAAACTGCAAGCTTGACATTTTTCAGTGAGGGTGCTGTCAGGCCACCGGAAGTCATTTTCGACATGGGACACACCAACAGGATTCCAGT